ACTACTTTACTTCTGCAAAACAGAATCTGTGGATCCCACTCCTTCAGTCAGCAGTTTTCTTGCCCTCAGTATGTGTGTAGTTCTTCTCTCTCTTGATTCTTCTTATGATAATCTCAAGTCTTCTTCAGATTTACAGAATATTCAATCTGCTTGTTCAAGTTTAAGGACTGTTTTCTACTGAGGAGGCTTAGCGTAAAAAATTCACAAGTCCCTTTACTTTCTATGATCTGCAAGGCACCTAGCAGAGCTCTGGTCACAGTGGGATGAATAATAGCATGTTATTCATTTGAGAGGAGGGAGATACCTTAAAACTCACATAAAAGCACAGCTAGTGGATGCTGAAGTCTGCCTTGGTGGTGGTTGGGAATTGTAGTCAAATTCCACTAAGCCAGCCCAAATCAATCAAAACAGTATTCCCAGCTGACTAAAAGCTGTATGCGCCTTGTCCAGCAGGCTTTACAGGTCTGAGGAAAGAAAAATTCCATGAAGGATGCTGAGCTCCCCTACGAAGGGTTATAAACATTTGGCAGTTTCATTCAAGTTATCAAAGTTTCCCAGTAGACTAGGGAGTCTAATGGAAAGGTGATGACCAGTTTTTCTCTAGCAAAAGGGACCAACTTTCAATTTTGTATCTTCCTGTGGCACTAATCCACCATTTTTAATCCAACACATGCAAATCTAGGCTATAGCAAATTCATAACACAGCCTTTTAAAATAAAACAGATAATATAGCAGCCTACTACTCTTAGAAAGAGGCTCATGAATAGGGTTACCATATTTTAATTTAAAAAAAGGAAGACACTCCACGGGGCCCCGGCCCCGCCCCAACTCCGCCCCTTCCCCAAAGTCCCCGCCCCAACTCTGCCCCCTCCCCTGAATGCTCCGCCCTCCTGCTCCTCCCCCTCCCCTGCTTTCCGCGAATCAAATGTTCGCAGGAAGCCTGAAACAGGGAGGCAGCAGGTAAGCTGGGGCTGGGGCAGCCCAGTCCGGCCCCCCCAGCCGAGCGGCTCCCTCTGGTGGCCGGCCGGCCCAGGCCAAGAGGCTCTGGCCCCGGCGTCTCCCGCCCGGCTCGGCTCGGGCCCTGGGGCACTGGCCCTGGTTCCGGCCGAGCGGCTCCGGCCCGCCCTGGCCCTGGCAGCCCCAGCGGCCCCGGCCGAGCACCGCCGGCCCCAGCGGCTCCGGCCCCTGGCTGAGCACCGCCGGCCCCAGCGGCTCCGGCCCAGACCCAAACCCCACGACCCCTCCCTCCCTATTTTCCCGGACATGTCCAGCTTTTGGGGATTTCCTCCCGGACGGGGATTTGAGGCCCAAAAAGCCGGACATGTCTGGGAAAATCCGGACGTATGGTAACCCTACTCATGAAAGCACCGGGCTCAAGAGATACTTTTAAAGCATATGTGGAGTAGCTTTTATTTTGTGTGAATCATTTTCAGAGGGTTTTTTGTTTGTTATTTTAAATACAAACTCTGAGTCAGGTTAACAGAAAAGATAGTAAGTACATCAGAAAGAGGGACTCAGCATGGATATGTGATAACGCTGGAAGAAAACATACAAAAAATAAATAATATGGTAGTTGGGCCAGCTAAATTTTCTGCCAATTTCTTATAGTTTATTTGTATTGGTATTTACATTGCTAATTTTGCCCTCTATTCAAACCTCACCTTGTTCCTTGTACCAAATGGCTGAGGGAAAGGCTCTCCAAATTATTATTAAATTGCTTTAGTTTTAAAGTTAAGTGTATTTTAACTGTAATTACAAGCTTTTTCCCCCTATTTAGTTTCCTGTACTTGAGTTATTTCTGGTTATCCGTAAAATGAAGCTGTACTTTACTTACTTGAGTATCCTCTGAAAAGAGGCAGTTAAAAAAATAAATGTCTATTTAAAATGTATTCATGTTAGTTAATTTTTCCAACCGGAGCTGAAGTGTAAGTAGATAAAAAGAGCCCTACGCTTCCTTGACCTCAGAGTTCTTGTCCTTGATACAACAGCGCTGAAGAGAGACGGAATAGCTTTACTTTAACCATTACCCTCTGCTTCCTTTAAAATGTGCAACAGTTGATGTCAGTGATAAAACGCAGCAAGCTGTTTTCCATTCATGCAATTTTTCTCACGCCAGGCTGGCTAGACACAGTGCACCCAAAACAGATTTAACATGCCTCTTCCATAATCTGTGAAACATGGAACATAGGGAGCCTTGTATTTGTAGAATACAGAGCAGATATCCCCTTCCGCCCCAGGTTACTGACAGCCAAGATTACCACGGCAGAAAATTTATCAGAGAAGAATGCAACTAGTAATTCAGACAGCTATGAAATGTGCCACCCACAGATGTCATTCAAACTACACAGAAAAGATGGCGGGTACACAAAAGAGGCGGTGTCTCCTGGGGATAAGAACAAGCCAGCGCAATGAGGCCATGCGCACAGTGGACTGGCACACCAACTTGAGGCGTCACCCATTCCGTATCAAAAACAAAATCAGAGACTGAAACAAGATCCAGGCTCCAACAAAATGGACAATTTCCAAGTATTTGAAAAGCTTCAAACAGCTGTGGCGAGGAAGAAAAGTTTCACAGTCCAGGGTGAGGCAAATGCATGAAAACAAGCTCTTCTATAACAAAACGGAACGGATACTTTTGCAAAGCCAGCAGGGAACGAGCAATACTGGTCAGGGATCCAGGACAGGCTCCCTATGCGAAATTATGTTTGAAGAAAACCCGACTTCAAGATATTTAACCAGGTCTACCTGCCCAGAAGAGTCCCAAGAAACTAACACAGTCACTTCCAATGTTTTGGGGCTACAGGAAAACTTGGGACATGGCCCAAGAGACAACAGCAGTGAAGCATCTCCTACTGCCAATGACTTCTCAGCAAATTCAACTTCAGTGCAACACCATCTTGTCAGCCTAAAGAAGCAGACGTCCAGGCAGAAGGCAGAGTATGAAGCTAAAATTACAAGGTAAGGAATCTTAGACTATGAGCTTTCTGGGGCAGGGACTTTGTGATGTTTGTGTGTACTGTGCCTACTGCCAAGAGGCAGAGATCCCCAACTGGGGTCCTTGGACACTATTGCAATAATGTTTTTTCACATTTCAAAGTGAATGTTTCTCACTGTCCAGTATTTACAAGAGACCAGTTTTGACTCATGTTACAGGGTTTAGGCTAATGTCATTTATTTAAAATTAATAGAAGCCAGTATCATTTGAGCTGGCTGGAAAATGTCAAAGCATTTAAAATTTCTTGGGAGAACGAAGATTTAAAAAATAAATAAATAAAAATCTGTAGTCTACTGTGGAATTTCCCTCCCCCCTCCCCCCCACACACACACTTTCAGTCAGCATGAAGAGCAGTACTTTGGGGGGTCGGTTTGGGGTTGGGGGGAAATAAACCAGAATATGAACTATCATAATACTAAGCACTGACACAGCGATTTACAAAGTTTAAAGGAAAATTCTTTGCAACAGCTCAGTGGGGAGGTTGGCAAGTACGATCCTCATTTTTTGTATCAGGAAATTGAATAGGGAAAGTAACCTACCTTAGGCCGCTTAGTGAGTCAAAGGTAGACCTAGAACAAGAATGCAGCAGCTCCTAAGTCTGTGCTCAGTCAGCTGAACAATGCCACCTGTTTATTATACAAAAAATACCCAGATCTTCTAAACAGATGCAATCACTAATTAGTTAGCTATAAAATTTCAGATAAATTATCCAAATGGAATATTTAGTTAAACGATGATATACCTTGAAATAATTATTTTAGTGACTTTTAAATGGGGATATTTAAATTTGCCCTCAAAATAAAGGAGAGGAAGTGCAACCTGCCTGATATTGAAGATTTGTTGGAAGTTTCTGAGTTTCATAGGATAGTCCCACTTTCAAAGGGGTTAATGATTTTGATAGCTGTTAATTTTTTCAGCATTAGATACAGAGGGACGTGCAAGGATCCTGAACACTTGTGAGATTCCACTGAAATCTGATGTAAAATCCAACTGTTTGTTTGTGGGAGTGGGTCCGCATATAGGTTCTAAGAGAAGACTATACACTGACTTATAGTCCCCCTCTTCCATAACTCTTAATATTAGAGGAATTGCACACAACCTAAGTCAAAGCATCTGGGTATTTGTGCAGGAAATGTACAAAATTGCTTTTTACACTGCAATACAAGGTATACCAGCATGAGTATAAAATGGAGAATTGCCTTTACCTTTGAAAACGAAAGACAATTTTGTAAGCAGGTTTGGTACATTAACTCACTGAGCTGCAGAAACTGGACAAATCATGAAGATGATGGGAGAGAAATGCATCAGCAACATGTTGAAGGGGGACCTAACATAGTTTGCTTTGGGGATAACAAGTGCCTCTCTACACACTTCTATTTATAGTATCACATGCTTAAAACCAAATGGTTTTTAAAAATTTAGGTTTCTCATGAAACAGAGACAGGAAAAAGAGCCCTATAAATTGTAATGTCTATCTTTCAAACAGCCTGGAGCAGCGGAACAAAGAGCTGCAATCGGAGATTAAGGGTCTGCATTCAAAACTGGGTCAGCAACGGAAGTGGTATAGTCTGGTGGAGATTAAAATGCGAAATGCAGAGAGGGCACGGGAAGATGCAGAAAGAAGAAATGAAATGCTCCAGAGGGAAATGGAAGAGTTTTTTGATACCTTTGGGGAATTAACAAATGATGTGAAGAAGACAGAGCGAAAACTGTTCAAAGTTTTTAAATCAATTAACTAGACCAGTTTGCAAAAAAGAGTTGATATTTGATTAAATGGTTACTGTCATTTAAATGCAGAAATTAGATTCCTAACCGCAAAATAAGCTTAATAGTACAAACTAATCTTCGTTAAACTTTTAATACAAATAGGGAATAAAATAGCAGTATTTAATAAACCAAGTTAGCAATGCCTACTATTCATTTTCAACAATGTATATCACATTTTGAAAGTTATATGTTAAACAATATCATTTTTTTGCCCGCTCACATAAAAATCTTGTATTTGTTCAAGACAATCCAAAAACTGCAATGAGAACAGTACACTAATAAAAGTCACCTCAGCACTCAGTGGAAGAAAAAAAATCTTTATTTGAACCTGTGCGAAGCAGAAATGATTATATTTCAGTCTGTCCATTTCCCCATCCACAAAGTAACTAACCAAATAGCCTTATTACAGTTGTACTTCTAAATTACCAATATAGTTTCTCCAGTCACTAGAATCAACACCAATTAATGAGCAACCAAGGTCAATTCAAATGCATGTCACAGGAGAGTTTAAAAACTTGCATTTTCCTGAAGCAAAACCAGAACAATAAACAACATAATTTATATGCTGAACACTGGGATAACTGATGGCCTGTGTTATGATTGGATACAATCAATAAATTATGTAATTATGGTCACTGTTTGCCAGTTCATACTAAAAGGCATGAAGAATACAAAATTGAGTGACATTTTTTTATAAAAACCGGGGGACATATTTCCAAGTCACATTTCAGTGCCTACGGCTAGTTGCATTTTTCCTCCTCCTCCTCAGTACCAGTATGACAATTGTTTTTCTCTGTTCAGAATGAAAGAAAGTAAAATTCCAGCTGGTTTTTGCCAAAAAAATAAGGAGTATACAGAAAGAAAATTCCCCTTTTTGAACATCACTTACCACTGACAATATTTTTAAAGGAAACTTACCCATATGAATTATGTAAAAAAACCCTCCCTGATTTAAAAAAAAAAAAAAAATCTAGTTGGTCCCCAGCTACCCTATTTGGAAAGAAACTAAGGCTACTTTGATATTTTTCAGATAATGAGTTCTCAAGTGATATATGTCATGTTCAGATCAAATCAATGGGAAAAAGATTTTTGATGGACAAATAAGTATTTTAAGACGACCAAATCCCCAATTGCTCATTATGGTCTGTATTCAACAAAGCACTTAATTTTAAATCACACTTCAGTGTTTTGCTGAATAGAATTGGGATTATTCATGTGCTAAATTTACAGCATGTACCTACCTGCTTTGCTGAATTGGGACCTACATTCCCAGTTACATGCCCAGTGTATGGTGATGTCTGTAGTTAAAGGCCACAAGAATTTCCATTATATAGTGTCTTAGTTTCTAACTTTCTCAAAAACTTACTTCTCAAGCTGAAATTTTCGGTGTGTTCTTCAGTCCAAGGGCACACATTTCTGAAAGCCTGAGCATATACAGTGCATCAGTTTGGGAGTGAAAAGGTACACTTCTCCCATGTGAAGAGGAAGAAAAAGAGAAGTGTGACTTAGGGGTATATCTCTACACTTACTGGGGATCGATGCTGCAGTGATTGATCCACTGGGGGTCGATTTAGCGGGTCTAGTGAAGACCCGCTAAATCGACCGCAGATCATTCTCCCGTCAACTCTGGTATTCCACCGGAAAGAGAAGCGTAAGGTAAGTCAATGGGAGAGTTTCTCCCGTTGACCCAGCATGGTGTAGACACCGCAATAAGTCGACCTAAGCTAGTGACGTAGCGGGAATTGCGTAACTTAGGGCAACTTAGCCCCAAAGTGTAGACCAGGCCTTAGTTAAAAGCTTCTCTTGTACTTCAGCTAGAGGCAGTAGAAGCTTGAGATCTGACAGGGACATTAGCCCCATGTGTGTATATTTGGTGGTACAGTGGGGGAAAAAAAAAAAATCAGGTTTGACTTGACCATGTCATAAGGGCAAAAAACAAACAAATCCCGGAGCCTTACTTTGTGTATCTGTACATTGGATCAAATTTTATTTTAATGTATAGGTGCACATGCCGGATGATTTGTGAAGGCGCAGATGGAATGAGTCAGCACTCCATAGAAGTATTGCCTCATGTTATATGATTTGATAATATATGCACTGAATAAGGAAGTCTGTGTTGTCATCACGCTTCATAAAGGCATAAGGGAGAGACTGTGCCAGTAAAAATATTCTTAATAAAAGAAAGGTTGTGGAACATTTTCCATTGGAGACGGAGCATGAGCTATCGTCTGGGCGGTCTTTGAACCTGGGCCAGTTCATGAAGCCTCAGTCCTGTAAATAAACCTTAGTTCTCTGAAAAGGAAAGAACAAGTTTGAGATCAGGAATGAGGTGCCAATGCAGAACATCGGATTGTAACACTGCCTCATTCTATATGATCCATTGATATGTACACCGAGTGAAGCAGGCTGTTTCACTCAGTGCTCAAAACTGTTAAATCACTGAAGCAAGGTTTTACAGACCCTTACTTGTGAGTAAGGTGTATGTTATCCAGTCCACTCCACACACTCTCTAGTCTCTCCGACCACATCACCCAATATCCTTCTTAAATACTATCCATGGTTTCTAGTCTTTTACCATCGCAAATTAAGTAATTTCACACTCATTTCAAGGCTTTATAGAATAGCACAACTGGCTGAATTTTTGAACTGGGCTCTACTCCAACCAATTCACTCTTCCTCTCCTCCCACCCTCAGTTTTGCACCTTCCAACATGCAGCTCCTTTGGTTGGATCATTTGTGTAACAAATGCCTCATTACCTCCTGAAGTCCCACTTTCCTCAAGAATCCTTCCTATCTTGTTTTCACCTCTCTCCACGCTCTTCTATACCTGAACCGCTGTCTCCAAAGAACTTGAGGGGAACAGACAAGGCAAGACGTAAGACAAGGAACGTATTTCAGTATACTTTGTAAAATGCCCCATGCAAACACAGCCAGGCTGCTCTATCTTCTTCTATTCTGTTCTGGTTCATGCAACAAGATGTCTTTCTGCAGCTGAACCAGCAACCTGAAAAATATCCTGCCATCAAATATCAGGTGGTCTAAGGATCTGGCTCTCCCAACGCTTCAGCCAGATAGTTGCAAGCAGTACCCTGTAGAGAGGAGAAAAAACTAATTTTTTTTCCAATCAAGAGAGATTGACACACAATCTGGTAAGGCATTTCAGTTCTTTATATAAAACTCAAACTCTAGTTTGGACAAGACAACCAACTACAACCATCCATCCAGAGAAGTGGCTACGTTAATCCTTCATTTAACATCAGGGAACTCAAGAAAAAGTAGCAAGACCTTCAGTAGCATGACAGTAGCAGCAATACTGGATTTTAACCTTCCTTCTTATACTGCAGTGTATAACAGCTTTGCAAAATTATCACAAAAACTTACCAGGTCAGCCACAAAATCTTTTCCCCTACCTTTTACAAGGTTGACAGTGCAAAACGAACAATTACATGCGCAGATAATTGTGGTTGAGTAAAGTTTTTGAAAGCAGCTGTATGGCTCTCTCATGCAATTAAACAGACCAAAACAGGAGCTCACTTTTTAGTCAGATGGTCAAAAGAGAATCATCTGAAATTTTTTGTAAGCAAGCAACAGTTTTTTAAATCTATAAACTGTGAGGGGAGTTAAACAGAATAGTACCAAGGTTTGGATTTTTCTAAGTACAGGACTGTGCAGACAATGCTGTCAATAGTACCCGATTACTCAGCACTACAATATTCCTGGAGGAATTCTGCGGGGGCGCAGAATCCATACCTTCCGCAGATTTCTTGGCTCCCCTGCAAAAAAAATGGGGAAGCAAAGAAATCTGTTTGGAACACACACCCCTTCCCCCGCAGCCGGAGAACGTCTGCTGGGAGCAACCGGCAGCAGAGAGCAGATCATCTGGGGGGGGTGGGGGGGAGGGGGCGTGTGTGCATCCCTGGAGAGATGTTAAAGGGGTGGGGCTGGGCACATGCCTGTGTATGAGCAAGTGAGAGACATGACTCCTGGGCTTGGAGGCGTAAGGCTGTGTAAAACGGGCTCTGTCCCTGAGGCAGAGCAGAAATCTAACAACAAAGCTGGCAGGCTGCTAATGCTCCCATTGTTAGTTAATTGTTCCCATTCTTAGTCAATTAAGGCTCCTTTACCTTGCCAGAGTGGTGCAAAGGAGCCTTATTGTAAATGACAGTAACAGAATCCTCAGCTAGGAAGGTCTATGTGCTTTCTCGCTTTTTTTCCTATGCCAGAGAGGCACAATGGGGTTAGATTACAGCTCAGGATCTATTTTACTTATCCATTTAAAAAAAAATGCAGGACAATGATTAGCAAAACTTTATGACTTTCATGTGTGAAAGTCTGAGCAATTTAAAACGACATTCAACTTTACAGAACACCAAAATAAAAGTAATGTAATTTAAATGAAAATCCAGGATTGTAACTGGAATGCAGGGTATTGGTAACTTAACTTTAATGTGTTTAGGAACTGCTGAACAGTTCTTGTGATTTTTTTCCCCTGTATGGTAGATTAAATAAATTACCAAAATTATATTGCATTCTTCTGACAAATAAAATATGCAGAATTTTGCATTTTTTGGCACAGAATTTTGCATTTTTTTTTGGTGCAGAATTCCCCCAGGAGTAACTAACTACAATCTGTCTCTCACTGTATATTTTCCATCTGGTAATAATATCCAATTGCTCTTACTATGTCAGGCTGTTCCAGCGAATCATGAGAAAACAGTTATAAGCAGTTTTTTAAAATATCTCATTCACTGGAGTTTCACACTATTAATTTTTGCATTTTAAGAACCACTGGTTAACTGAAATTTACAATAACTGAATTTTTATCTTACAAAATGACTGGAAGTGTATATTTTTCTAGTGCAACACCCTAGAGTAAATGTGTAACTTCAAAGCAAGAAAACTGAAGACAAAAAGATAACACTGCTGCAGTAAATGAAACAGGCTTCTCACAGACTTTAAGTTCACATATTTATTTGAAATTTTACAGTGGTTTTAGTATTGATGTTCTAAAATAAGACTTTTGGAAAAAAAAACTCAGGAAACTAAATTTTAGATGAGGCTATAGCTAGCACGTCAGAGTTAGCTATTGACAACATTCCTTATGAAAATTCTAGCTTCCTTGAAATCGGTCTGAAAACAAGGAATGACTGCTGTCCGTAAAAAATATCTTTTAATCTTCTTGAAATCAAAATCCAGCATGAGACAAAATAGCCACTGCCATTACACAGAACATTTCCCTATTGCACAAGCATCAAGAATGAAATATGGCAATCAAAGCCAAGTTTATTAGGCAGAATAGGCCACTTTATATATCTATACCGTTAGACTTAAAAGCACATCTCTTCTGAAATCACATACCATACTGTAACTAAAATAAAGGCCATAAACTCTGAACAAGATATGTATTAGGGCTTGATGCTATTTTTTGTGATAATTGGTTAACCCATAGGAAGAACCTATAACATACACATTTTGGTGGGAGTGAACACAAATAAAGACTTTTGAAAAAATTCTTAGAGAACAGACGTTTCAAAATGTGATTAGGCAAATGTTATCATATCCATATCCATATCATAAATACCTTATACAGAACATTCTCATAAAAATTACACCTGCTAAAACTAAGCAAACACAAACCATTTCATAAATATAAACACATGATGCTTGTGACTGAAATCAGGAAAATCCAGGAAATTCTGTTTAGGCTAATATTTCATCTTCAACTCATTCAGTCACACTGTTGACTGAATTTCCTGGACTTGACAGTTTGTATTAAAAGCTGTTAAATCACTGTAATGTACTTGCATTTGATATACATTTCTTTTTTGCTCAAAATTTCAGATGGAAACTAGTAAAATCCTTGTAATTTAATCTAGAGACCAGAAAGGCATCATTGTACTGGACAAATCATATTATAGTAACCTTGCATTTATTTGTCTCTATTTAAACACATCTCTTACATGAAAGACTAGAACAGCACTTTTGGCTCTATCAATATGTAATATAATTTTGGCCTTTTGAAAAAGAGTTATGTATTGATAGAGTTTTGTTTTTAGAAGTTTTTTATTCACCCAATAAACTAATGGCTCCAAAGAGGCATTAACCTATCATGGAAATGTAAAGTACTGTAAGAATTTTTCTGAATTTTATTTCAAAAAGCTGAACATGCACATTAGTCAGTTTAAAGTTTAAGCTGCCAGCCGTTTGAAAAAATATATATATCAAAAGTGACAACCACATTGCTAATCTGCCAATTTCATTTAAAAAATTAGCACCAATCAAGCATCTGAAATTTACAAAAATATTGCACACATTTGACCTTTAAGTTACCAATTTTTTCCTTAGAAGATAGCAGTGAGCACATGCAGTGTGCTATTATAAAGCTCTAAAATTTTAGCTTCATTTTCATAAACATGGAGAGCGATAAATATTACCATCAATGTTTCAGCTATTATGCCTTTAGCAGGGTACGTGAGAACAAAAAATAAGGCTCAAGCTGATTACTGTTCCTGGCTGATGATACTCTAAGCCCCGTTCCACACTGGAAGGATCAGTGCCACAGAATAATTTCTTTGGAGCAGGGACTATGCCTGCGTGTGTGTTTGTGCAGCACCTAGTGCAATAAAGCCTCAATCCTGATTAGGGTGTATGGACATTACCATAAAACAACAGCTCTCCTCTGAAGCATAGCATGCATTAATAGACTCTGGTTTCAATAAAGGACCTAATGTTCTTAGCTGATCCTGCTATTATAACCAAGAAACTATAATATCTATATAATCAGTGGCCAGGCAACCATGCTGCTAATCAAACCATTTTAGATATGGGGAAATGATGCTTCTAACTGACATTTTAGAGTGCATTAAGTTTTAGCCTATTAAAAAAAAAGTAAACCCAAATTTTTAAATCTCTGAAAATAGGTTTATGTTTAAAGTATGATGCTGATTCAACCTTAACTACAGGATCACAAAGAGGAACATCAAGATTTGCAACACAGTTTTAACATGCAAAACAATATAAAAACAGAAGGTGAAGATGGTGTTTAGAAGAATCCTAAAGTGCTTCAACACTGCAATCAAAACGGTTTTTTGTTGTGCAAAACTGCAAGCACCTTTTCAAAAATTAAGCAGCAGCACAACAGAGTAAAATCTTAAATATTAAATACATCTTCAATATTCTGCTTTTTAATTTTGGGACCAAACTAATTTACCATATATTCAGTAACAGAGCCCAAAAGAGAATCTTCTGTTTTGATTTTGTATTTGATTTTTTTCCAATATATTTGTTCTGATTATACATCAACACAGCAAGTTTGTGGGATTGAAATCCACAAGCAGAATTATAGTTACAAAAATAAATATTGTCATTTTAGAGAACACAAATACAAAGGTTAGTTGCCTGCCTCTCCACTTACCTCTAATACAAATATTAAGAGAAAAGATTGCTTACTTAAAACATTAACATAATTTAGCTCAAGAGGTTTGCAGCATGCATAAGTGGGCATAAGAATAAGTTTGATTTGATAGATTTGTGTAATATTGCATATTTAGAACATCACTATAACTTACATGATGGACAATTTAAAATAATATATATAAGATAATGAACCAGAATATATTTACTTCTGCCATACCCCCAATATCAAACGAACTCAAGGACATTCATGGAGAAGTAATGAAACTAACCAACATCAGGGAATCAGCCATAGGAACATAATTTAAGTCCAAATTCTGCATTTGGATGCAAGTGCACACAACACATTAACTTAAAATGGGAGCCACACAGTGCACATCCCAGGAAGGAATCTGGATCCAAGTACCCAGTATCACTAAGTTTAGCATCAAGCCCTGATAGAATCAATTTTATATATAAGTAGCATTTACAGACAAAGGCTGCTCAGTGTTTCTTCACTTAAAAGTACTTCCACTCTAAGTTTCACAATTCAAATGAAACACCCCATACAAACTATATTGCTGCGAGACTGAACCTATCTGCCAACTTGGGTATTAAGTTCAGTAAAGATTTGTCTGCACTTGAGCACCTGAGGAATTTTCTAGGAATTTACAATGCATGCCAAATCAGTACAGTGCACTTCTGCCGTATTGAAATGGGTCACTCACTCCACTCTTGGACAATGGACATATAAGTTGTATTTTGAAGTTCTAAATCCCATCCTATTTCTAAAATCATAAGTTTATGACAAGAGTCAAGTAAAACCAGATCCAAAAAGGAAACTGATTTAGTATTAGGTAGAGGTCCATCTAAAAGCTTTCCTTCAAAAAATATTAATAAATTGAAGGAGGAATCATATTTTCTACATCATTTTGAATACCCACCCACATGCTCTTAGGATTTAAAACACCACCACCCCAAAAACAATCTGGTCCCTAACAGGTTTTCATATCTTCACAACCAACTAGTCAACAATTTCTAGTTGAGTCTGAGTTTATCTAGCTTGTACTCTTTGATAAAGAAGTTTAAATCCTTACCAGAAATAAGATACAACAAACTTCAAAGGCTTGCATTTCCAGTGGTTAGACTGGTATATTTTATGTGATCTGTGCAGACAAACCTTATTTTGACATAGTGGTTTTTTTTAAGCCTAACAAAATGAAAATCTTTCATATCAAAGTATTTCCTCAAAGCACATTGTATAGACTTCTCACTCAGCTTTCAAAATGGTTGATTTCTTAGTTTAGTCATGTTTTTGAGGGAAAGTGATATGAGCACAAATAAAATTAAATCAACTTTTTAAAACACACTCCATTTCTGCAATGCCATTCAGTTACTCAGTGTTTACATAATTAAAGTGATGTTTAAATATAATTATCTGAATATTAACCATTATCCCCTTCTCCTTTCAAGTGAGCAGTTAAGTATAAGAACTGTAACTAAGTTTAATCACTTATTTTTAAACATTTCGTAAGTCTGTGTGCGTGAAGCAGTGTTAACCTATGTAGAGTTTGTCATACAGAAAGTCAACATTCATGTTTATAGAATCAATTGGGTTGTTTTTACTTACACACACACACACACACACACACACACACACACTTAAAAAACAAATATTTATAAATGCTAAACACAAAGCGCAGAAAACTGGTCAACTGTATCACTTCATATATATCAGGAATCGGCAACCTTTGGCACGCGGCCCGTCAGGGAAATCTGCTGGCGGGCTAGGACGGTTTGTTTACTTGCAGCATCCGCAAGTTTGGCCGATTGCAGCTCCCACTGGCTGCGGTTCGCCATTCCAGGCCAATGGGGGCTGTGGGAAGCAGTGGCCAGCACATCCCTCGGCCCATGCCGCTTCCCTCAGCCCCCATTGGCCTGGAACGGCGGACCACGGCCAGTGGGAGCTGCGGCCCGCCAGCGCATTTCCTTAATGGACCACGTGCCAAAGATTGCCGATCCCTGATATATATGATCTGCACCTGAAAGAAAAATTATCCTATTGCAATGACTGAATAGTTCATTTCTAAACTATTGTCAAGATTACACATGAGTGTCAGTTTTCACATCAGAGATGGGGTTCTTGTGTGTCAGCAAAATCAATTTTGTAAATTGGACACAGCTTAATTTGCAAATAGTCAGGACTGCAACTGTATGCTCAAAATCTGCATGAAGTGCATGCCTATTTTCTACATGTAAATATCCAATTTGTGTGTGCAAGTATACACAGAAGTAGGCATACTGTTCTGCATCCATTTTTGTGAACACAGCTGCACATCCAACTTCTTGAAAGTCGAGACAACTGTTTCTTTTCATACTGAAATCCAACTTATAATATGCAGACTTTATATTTTTCATGCATGTTAACAAGAAAGTTATAGTTCTGCAGTCACAACTGAAGTTTCAAGAAGCTGCTTCTGTTAAAAACAAATGTTAAAAATCCGATCAATCTTTTACTATAATAAAGATTATGGGAAAACATGGTCACTTAAACTCAACTGCTTTTTATTCCAGGAGTACATTTTTAAGACTAGACTATAAATTAGAAAAACCTCCCTTACTAGTTCAAATGATTCTTTTTATAATAATGTAAAAAATTATGACAATTATGAGTAGAATACAGGATGACCACTATACACATGCAGTTGAGGCATGCCAAACAGACTAAACCTAGTGGGGTAAGTTGCTCCTGAATGACAACAGTTACAACAGAGAAGACTTTAGCTTATTTACTTAAAGCTAAACAAAGATTTTGTATAATCTTGAAAAATGACAAGTCCTGGAGGTCATTCCCAGAAGTTAATCATGGATCTCGAAATATCCAGCAAGAACTTTTACGAACAGGATCAGACCAAGACTGGCAGACAAAATCTTATTAATAAATCATTTATTTTATTACTAAGGTAGCTTAACTGTATTTGCTCTGCAGCAGTATTGTGACATGCAATAAACTGCTATAGAGATTTCAGCCCTTTATGCCTCAGGTACAGTGGGAAACTCTTAGGGAACCTTAATGGGAGGTTGCATCATTTTGCACATTTCATCCTATTATTTCAAAGTTCTTTGAAAACATTAAAGCCAAGATTTTCCAAAATAACTAGTGATTCTGGGTATTTAACTTGAGATACCTTAAAGTGGCCTGATTCTCAAAGTCCTGAGCCCCCATCCTTTGAAAATAAGGCTCCTTAAAAGGAACCTCATGTTAGGCACCCAAAAATCACTAGTCACTTTCGAAAGTCTTGGCCTACATCTCTGATTGCATATAGGCTTAGTTAAGTGAAGCTATCTCTAGGCAGTTTTTGGATCAACACACCAGGGGGGGGGGGGGGGGGGGAGAGAGAGAGAGAGAGAGAATTTCAATTTTTTTCCCTCCTGAAGTGAATAGGGTGGAAGCTAATCACAAGATAGTTTAAGATCACCAGAGCTTACTCTATATGCTAGGTGTGTTTGAACATTAACATCTCCAAACACCCAGAGATAAAGAGTATGCACAATTCTATTGTGTAAGAACACAATAAGCATTTTTATCAAAGGTTTGCTCTGACGACAAAATAAGCCAGACAAATTTTGCACATATCACCAGAAACACATGATAAATAATATATCTGTATTTTTTGAATTAAAAAAACAAAAATGCAAAACTCAAAAACAGTACTTGTGTTAAAAAAAATATCAAAACGAAGATGCCAGATGTGAACTCTAAAGATTTACTTCCTACAGCTTATATCAGGTAAGATACTTCTGTCCAATTTTCTTGTCAAATTTTTCTGTTCTGATAAATTCAAAACTACAGCAAATTAACCTATTTTAAAACATTTATGGGTACACACTGCATTAACAGAAAAACTTCTACCTTTCAGATCATAACCAAGAGCATGCAAAATCATGGGCAATTATTTTTCCTTTCCCAAACAGCATACTGAACAATTCAAGTCAGTAACATAATTGCTGGTTCAGTGAGAAAGTTGTACAAGTTCTCTTTAAATGTTCAAGACTTCAGTATCTAAATCAACAGCTAAATATAGTGCCACTATGAAAGCAAAATGTTTTGCCTCATCTTTGACATTTTTCATTACTATTTTAGTTATATAGTTTAACCATACACACGTGCACACAAGAAGATCTTTTAGCAAAACATTTCTTACACTTGTGCGTTCCAAAGCAAACATGCTTTTCTGTTTGCAAATGCACAACTGTATAATATTTGATAACTTAAGCACTATTCTACTGCACACACATTTTCTAATAATTCAAAATACTGTGCAATGTAAGAGGCAATGTCTGTATTATTTAAATCTGAAAACTGCATTGATAAGCTTCTATTAAAACTGAAGAAGAGCTTCACTGCAAACAGCCTCCCTCTCCTGTGGTACCTTGTTAAAAAATGTAGACAGATCGCTTTTTTAATAAAGAAGGAATTTTGTCTAATTTGGAAGTAGAGCTGAGCTCTATGGATATAAGAAATACTTAAGAATATAATTTGTCAAATCAGTCAAAAGGCCTATCAAAATTTAGAAGTGTTCACATTGTAGAATGGTTCCATAAACAAGACTAGAAAAAAAATTGTGCAACTATTCCAGGGGTCACTTAGGTTTCAAGTCTCCCCATCGCCTCTGCACTTTATCAGATTTTTGCATTGAGACACAAGAAGTGACTAAGGGAGAAGCTCCACAGGACTAATTTTTGTTCTTGAAAGAAAAAGTAGGGAAAGTGTCGTTTCTAAAAGTTTTTATTGATGATAAAAAAAAGGACCAAAACAATGTATTAGCCAGAAAATAAGGAAATAATTTAGCACTTCACCTCATTTAAAGAGACATGTTGCTTCACCAAGCTAACCCATTCTACCTCCCACTAAAACAACTGAAAGAAGACATTCAGAGAAGCATAGTCGCATTCATGGGTAAAATATGAAATGATGGCTATGCTATATGAAGTTCACAAGTTTGTTTCTTCTACAAGAAGATATACAAAATTATTGGGAGGTGAGGAAAGAAAGGGCTCAATAGAAAAAAAAAAAGTGCTATGTGGAAGAACAATTGCCCCTTGAATACAGTACTGATAATTTCCAATATGTAAGGTAACACTCACATACAACATATTGGAGTTAAATAGCGCAAACTTCTGTAGTCATATTTAAGCAAATTATACGGACGCTATACATTCAAAACACCCACTACAGGGTAATTCTATGCAAAAATGTAATGACCATGTGTGTGTTACAGAAGTCTACTGAATGAGACAGAAGGTCCATAAACTCACTCAGGAGGAGTTATCTGGTACACATCTACTGTAACTGCTCACCTGAAATAGGCTGAAACAAAAAAAGCCCATAGTAATGTCTAAACTGAAATTTTTTCTTCTTTAGACATTGATTTGCTTTCATTCTATAACATTAAGCAGGGAGTCTTATTACAACTGAGTAAAAACACAGGCATTACTTTAGTAGAACATGCAGAACATGGAGTTTCTCTACTTGGTTCCATTAACTTACAAGCAATTCAGGCCAATGGAAACGAGTTTTTTTCCCAATGTGAAGTCTGCAATCCTGGCTGATCATCGGCATCCTTCAAGGGGTCCTGTCAAGGCATCAAGGCTGCTGTCTGTATCTGAAGCCAATGTTTGCTCAGTTGACATGGATGAAATGTCATTGATCGATGATGACTGGGAAGGACTGGTGTTGCTATTCACTGCTGCATCTGTGCTAAGTAAACCAAGCATAATAAAATCTGAGGCAAGACATTATTGCAGATATAGATAATAATGCTTTAGGATTCTTAGTATCTCCTTTTCCAGAGTACACAATGCTTTACTATTGTATTTATTAAGGGACTATCAAAGTTAACTCAAAATTTGAGCTCACGTATCTGTGCAAAATACATGTAACACTCTGTGCCTTTTTCCTCCAAAAAGAATACTGTACCTGTTTAAAAAAAAAAAGAAAAATACCAGCAGCTCATCACTGAACAAAATTAGAAGAGCAAACAAGTCTGATAAGCAGATTTCAGTTTTACATTTCCACAGTAGTGTTATAAAAAGCAGGAAACATTGTTCCATGCCCTTCTGACATCTCATTTTGTCGTTTTTATGTTTGAATAATTTGTAACTTTATTCCTTGAGAAGATGGGAAGATCTCCATTTCACTCTTAACAGTAATGCTTTTTGCATTACCTATTCACATCAGAAAATTTAACACTAGTCAGAACAGTCAAAGCATACAACAGGTATCCAACACCTCCCAGAATAGATTGGATTACTAATTTTTACAGCCACATAACAGAAAACATGGCAACCTCTTTAAGGGGAAGTGCTGCTATGCTGGTTACTAAGGCTTGGTAGTTTAAAGAGAATGCATTCTGTGATATTTAGTACTCAAGAGAGACCAATGGGTCTTGCAGGAAGAAAGGGGGGATGTCATGTGGCTATGCCAGGACTATATAAGAAGCAGCATGCACTCAGAGTAGAGAGCCTTGTGTGGTAAAGTATCAGGGGAGACTCCAGAGTTAGTTAGGAGGCATTGAAGAAAATGGCCAACAGTAACCTGTAGGGAGCAGGAGGCACTGGGAGGCTCCAGCAATAGAGCCAGACTTAGGACTGTGAGGTCCACACAGAGAGCAACTGAGATCCTCTACACACTACCCACACCTTAGAGGAAGGAAAGCTGATATCTCTTGTTGGAAGGGACTACATTAGAAGCCACTGTCTGAGATTTCTAAACTGCAGTAAAAATGTGCATAAGATGCCTAAAATATGATTGTGACGTTGCACTCTATATGAATTTATGAAAATATGCTAATGAGTGTGAATATAATGTAACTGGAATATGCTTCATGCAAAAGGTCTCTTGTAAGGTATCATCACAAAGCTTATACTCTACTGAATGGGTTCATCCTATTTGTATGATTGTATCATTCTTGTATCTGAAACTAGAAATATGAAATATAACTCTGAGGGCCTATTGTAATTATGCAAAGTGTGGGCCATTAATGGTGGTTTGGAATCTTGATGGCTCCCATTAACCAGGACAATTGACTGTAGATGGCTCTGTTTTACTTGTAAGTCTTCCTGTATATGTGTGTGCTGGCAAGTGGGTAATGAAGTCTTTCAGTGACATGTGATCATGTCACCTGAACTGGAATCCATCTTTAACCTGGTGCTTTTCCATTGAAAAGGAGGGGTGGGAACCCAGAGGAGGACAAAGGATTCCTGCCTTATGCAAAATATATACAAGTGGGTGGAACAGAACAAAGGGGGCTGCAGTCATGAGAAATCCCCTAGCTACCACCTAAGCTGGAACAAGGATTGTGCCCAGACTAGGAAGGCATCCAGTCTGCGAAAGAAACTTACTGAAACATCTCTGAGGGTGAGATTTTATCTGTATTCAGTTTTATTACTGTATTAGGCTTAGACTTGTGTGTTTTATTTTATTTTTCTTGGTAATTCACTTTGTTCTGTATGCTATTACTTGGAACCATTAAATCCTACTTTCTGTATTTAATAAAATCACTTTTTACTTATTAATTAACCCAGAGTATGTATTAATATCTGGGGGGGGGGGCAAACAGCTGTGGATATCTCTCTATCAGCGTTATAGAGACCAAACAATTTATGTATAAGCTTTATACAGGGTAAAACGGATTTATTTGGGGTTTGGACCCCATTGGGAGTTGGGCATCTGAGTGTTAAAGACAGGAACGCTTCTTAAATTGCTTTCTGTTAAGTCTACAGCTTTGGGACACGTGGTTCAGACCCTGGGTCTGTGTTGGAGCACACTGGCGTGTCTGGCTCAACAAGACAGAGGGTGCTGGAGTCCCAAGCTGGCAGGGAAAGCAGGGGCAGAAGTAGTCTTGGCACATCAGTTGGCAGTTCCCAAGGGGGGTTCTGTGATCCAACCCGTCACAATGATATACTTAAACTGATGACAGATAAAAAACTAGACAAAAATAGTCAAGAAGTTAAAGTCTATTTCAGGGCTTGTAACCTATACAGCTCCTCGTGACTATGTCTGAGAGTTTTACAGTAAAGAAATGTTATACTGAATCAGGTTGGACTCATCTAAAAATTGGGCTGGAAAAAAGAAAAGTAAGAATCACTGGAATACCAGCGAACACTAAAAGTTGGGAGGGGGGGAGGTTACTTTCAATATGGTTGACACATTCTCAGAGCATGGCACTTCATAAAAGCATATCAACTGCTAACCAAAAACCCACAAAGAAAGGTGCATCCTCCTCAAATTCCAAAACAGAACTGGTGACAAGTACGACAATAGCTACGAGGAATTCAATTTTAGGAGCAGCACATCAGATACAAGCTTGAATTTAACAGACTAAACTCTTTCCAGATTACACTAATTTTAATTCAAATGTAAGACTCGGTTTTGGGAAATAGTAAATATTTAACTTGCTAGGATTATGTTGGTTATGATAATTTTTGAGACACAGGAAGAAGTTAAAGTTTTATGTCAGCCAAAATAGAAGCTACAGAAGATATACTATTTCCATGGGCTTATATGTGGAATAAGGTAGTATTCAAGGTAAGCAAGCACACAAATGTGTGAACTAAAATCTGTGTAAACTAAATTTTTTTTTGGATGAAAAAACAACTCAGAGTTTAGAAATAAAGTGTTACTAGAATTTTGCCTCAAAAGTGACTTTGGTTTTTCATTTTTTAATTCTAGGTATTCAGTATCCAATATGCATCCCGGAGTAAAGTTTGGGTATTTCAGGGGATACTGGCTCTAACTCTCCAGGAGGGATAGTTGGACAGCCTGTTCTGTTTCCTGAATGTGTTAGAATTAACATTAAGGGTAACCTAACTTTATTCTTGACAGAAGATTATTGTTAAATTACCTGGAGATTTTAGCTTCAAGTTTTTCTTAATGTTACTCTGTCTGACCATGGAAATTCTAAAAATATCACTGTATTTACATTGTATGGTAAAAGATATGTGGATGTGGAGAGGTTTCTCTTAGCATCCTCCAGAAAACTGTATGAGTAAGTACCTGAAGACAAGATTGATAAATATCTGTATTCTTATTTATACTAAATTACACTTTTATACTTTGAGGTAGCAGTTTCTGTAATTTTGTCAGTATTTTGAACCTACAATAATCCTTTCCCCAATGTTCATTCTATCAGAGTTCTACAAACAATTACATAACTGCTGTACTTGTATTATACGGTTATTAAAATGTTACACACAGAGAGGAATAATCCCAATGTCATTGAATTACGAGACAACTAGTACTACAAATAAATAAGTTGTGACAAACTATAAAACTAAAGACAAATTAAATCTAAACATTGCAGCAGGACATTTTGAGTTACAGTGCCGTCAGCTGAAGAGTATTGGATCCCTGCAAAACAGTTTGCAAGTTTCTAAAGAATAACATTTTGTAGACCCTGCAGAGTTGTTTTCCACAACATACTTTATTTCACTTTTCAGTTCACGGCACATTTTTTACTTGGTCTGGCAGCTTCTTTCAGCTACTAGATGAGATAAAAACTGGTTCATACCTTTGGAACTCCTTAAATATAAAACCTCCAATAATGTGGGTCTTTACAGAAGATAACAGGGGCATTCCCCTGAACATATTTACTGTAACATGTAAGGTACCTCACTGGAGTTCTCTGTGCAGAATATGACTATTTTAGCCTTTTGAGCAGGCCATAATACTAGCTTCTGAATTTACATGTAAATTTAAATCTATATAATGTATCCAGCTGAGAAACAGGAGTAAGATAAAGCAAACTCTTTCTAACCCAGAATGGAAGAGCAAAGTAAGCTGTTTCCCAGCAAAAACACAGTGACGACACAATGGGTTTACATCAAGAATACAGTCAAATTTGAAGTCTACCTGCTTTTCACATATGCTGTTTCTAGTATCAATTATTAAGGCAAGGGGTAAGGACAATAAATTACTATTTTATTATTTATAAATATGGGAAACTAAGTAAAAAGGATTTACCTGCACTTGCTTTGGCTTGGGATTCAGGATCTGACAAATCACTACCCCAATTAAACAAATTAGTTCCTCAGACCAATACAAGGATAACAGTGAGAAAAAACTGATATAGAAAGGAAACAGGGCAAAGGTTCTTCTGCAATTTTTATACTCTGCTAACAAAATCACTACTACCCACCTAAGTTACAAGGCCAAGACGAGAACCACCCTCCCCCTCCCCCGCAACATCTGAATAAAGGGATTGAAACACTGCTGCAAGTTTCTTCAGTGCATTAGACATTTTTCCACTACAAAACCATTGCAGATGCTAGCCACTGTACTAAAACCTTCAAGAAGTACAGATGCGCTAAACTGTGTTCTATAATACTGCTATCAGTTTAGGAGAGGCCACAGGCACCCTGAATTTTCACTTTTAAACGTTTTTAATACAGCCAATGCAAGGTAATATACATCTCATAGAATCATAGAATATCAGGGTTGGAAGGGACCTCAGGAGGTCATCTAGTCCAACCCCCTGCTCAAAGCAGGACCAATTCCCAACTAAATCATCCCAGCCAGGGCTTTGTCAAGCCGGGCCTTAAAAACCTCTAAGGAAGGAGATTCCACCACCTCCCTAGGTAACGCATTCCAGTGCTTCACCACCCTCCTAGTGAAATAGTGTTTCCTAATATCCAACCTAGACCTCCCCCACTGCAACTTGAGACCATTGCTCCTTGTTCTGTCATCTGGGCACCAAGGACACAGGTTATACCTACAGGACGGGAGAATGTCTTAGGGCAGGTCTTCACTACAGGGGGGGGGACGATTTAAGATACGCAAATTCAGCTACGTGAATAGCGTAGCTGAATTCGACGTATCAGAGCCGACTTACCCCGCTGTGAGGATGGCGGCAAAATCGACCTCCGCGGCTCCCCGTCGACGGCGCTTACTCCCACCTCCGCTGGTGGAGTAAGAGCGTCGATTCGGGGATCGATTGTCGCGTCCCGACGAGACGCGATAATTCGATCCCCGAGAGATCGATTTCTACCCGCCGATTCAGGCGGGTAGTGTAGACCTAGCCTTAGAAAGAAGTGGTTTATAAACAATTAAACCCAAAACAATTATTTTTATCTCTTCCAGTCAGGGAGGAAGAAGAGCAGCACATGCTTCCGCAGCTCACTTCATAGCAAGGCAAATTGACTATGAATATGAGAGACTGATCAGGATCAAGAGCATTAGACACCAAAACTTTCTGGCATAACTGGATTGTTGATTCTGATTCATGTAATATGAGCATCTCACCAAACATGTATCAGAGCTGCAGAAAAAGTTAAACTATTAAAACCAATGACTAACCTGAGGGCTGATCTTTTACCACACCATTCTTGCTTCTTTCTTCCCAATCCATTACTTCTTTGTATATTAATTCTTAAGTAAAAGAAAAAGGGTTGGTAGGGAAAGATAATATTACAAAAAACAGTGCTTTCAGCCATTTCCTTTTACACTTTTAAAGGTGTCGCTGTAAACTGTTTAGAGGTACACTTTCCCAATGGAACAAACAACTGTTATGATGAATGGACTTTGCAAATTTACTTGAAGAGTTAAAAACAGTTTCAATATTTACCAAAAAGTTGACAGACATACTCTAAACACATTAAAGGAAATATAATAGTTAACCCATTGTAATAACTTACTGTATGGCTGAACTACATTGAAATTAAACTTTTACAAAGGTCAGAAAAAAGTATGTCAGCTAAAAACATAATAGTCAGACCACCTGTATTGGAAAAACCTTAGCACTTTTTTCTTACCAATAGGAATATTTTCGTTCATAACCATGATGGAAATTACTTATCTATAAGGTCTTCTCTCTAAAGGTAATATTATGGGCCTGATCCTGTAGCCCTAACTTGTAAAACTAATTCTGCTAGTGTGATCGAGACTACTTGAGTGAGTAAGGGCTACCTCATATCTTGGTTTCACCACAAGGTGATGTACACAACACCATAAATAAGGCATAATTGTTACCAGAACACACAATGCCTTTAATCTTTTTGTGCAAATTACCAACATAGAAGCTACTCAATAAAGAAAACGGTGTCTTACTATAAATACACAACTCTGCTAGGCAGGACTCCTGTACTAGAACAGATCTGAGACTAAGTATGGTGTTTTGGAGGGCGGATGGTGTATCTGTTTTGAAGAACTCTTGATTAAGAAAAATGTATTAGAGATCCATTATAAACAAACACTTACCTTAGAAGGCTGGTTTCATAAAACAAACAAAAAACCACACCACCCACCCACAAAGAGAGCTAACAAAATACCAGAAATGCAAATAAAACTTGCATTTAGCAAAATATACTACTTTCTTCGCTTTCCAAATGTATTGTATACTAATCTATAATTAACTTCATAATATGACATTTTATGATTTGTTGGGTCATTAATCTTCACATTGTTGCATGCAGTATTGTATATTAATCTGGTGGGTTCTGATCAGCCATGCAGTGTAGGAGTTACACTACTTTAGTAGTGATGGTTGATAAATTACCACCATCACTGGAATCAGTCATTTTTGGCTATTACCTTTCCATTCTTCAATGGCATGTTCTCTTTCTTCCAGCTGTGCATCATAGATTTTAGGAGGAGGCTACAAAGACAATAAAATCTGAAATATAACTGCAGCATTTAATTAGTATAATTAACCATGGTGTCAACAACAACAAAAAAGAGCTAGGTGAAATGTTATTTTTAGTTGCTAATCTCTGGCTGGGTCCCTTGCCAATATCTCCATCTTATCTGTTTTATAGAAGTGCCTCAGAATTATATGGTCTCAATTGCAAAACTAATCAAGCTACTGGAATGATGTACCAAAATTAGATTTGTCAGCTGAAAGCTGGATATTAGGTTTAAAGAAATCATGAGGCCTGAAGGATTCTCAACAAAATTAAATGGTTTTATCCTAAAGCTGGTAGGATTAAAAACCTGCCTAAATTACTGTTGCACTGGCAACTATATATCTATGGAGAGGAAATCAGCTATAGGGGATGTTTTCAAACCAACCGTAATGCCACTTCTTGGGCTGTTTTGGAGATGGTACTTCAATCACTTCAAGCTATTATCCTCTCAAGATTACATATGTAATCTTTGCTAGCCTGAAAAGTGAGAATTCAACATCTACTCTTGACCTGACACAAGCCACAAACTACTGTCTCAAATATGAAGATTAAAGTGATACTTTGAGTAGAATTTTTTATGTACACTTACTGCTTCCGCTTCAGCTGGATCATACCAGACCGTGATATATGGATGTCGTAAGGCTTCATCTACAGAAATTCGTTTGTCTGGGTCTACTACCAGCATTTTTGATAATAAATCTCTAGCTTGACTTGCTAGAAGAGGGTGGGAAAGAACAACAAAGTTTCAGAAGCTAAAATGTAACAAAATAACATATGGTAGAATATATCCTAACAAAAAAGATACACAACAAAAATTCCTAAGCAAGTTAATAATTCAAGTAGTTCTATTAGTTACCTGTAGACTCTTGGCCTTCAACCTTGTATCACAATGCACCAAGATTAAACAGGCCTCTTATAAAACTTGTGTGAGAGTCTTTGAACATTATGCACCAAGATGAAATAAGTGTCTAGTACAACTACACATCTGGCTGTACGTATGAAAGTATTAACTCTGAGAGAAACTAGTATCTTCAAAAGCCAAATGAGACAAAGTTTCTTTTTATTATATTGTTGCATATATTTAAAATTAAGGTTAGATTGTTTGAAATTAAACATTATTTAATACCATCCAAGTCATGGTCCCACTCTTGCAAATACACCCAAGTAACTTTGCTTGTGCACCCAGTCTCATTGCGGTACAAGGCCATGGTTTGCACTAAAATAATATTTCAAGTATAACAGCATAACCTGACATTTTAAAAATAGGTATTAATATACTAAAAAGAAAGCTTTAGCTCTTGTGACTTATGAAGTCACTAATTCCTTTTGATAGAGTTATTGCTTATGGTGCATTTTATATCTCTCTCTTTTGGTGGTTTAGCGAGACTACTCACACAAGTGGAGTTAATAATAGGTATTTGCGGGATTGAGCCCCATATCAATATCAATGTGGTATCACATTGTTATAACAAATTTAAGCTGCCTGCTGCTGTGGCTTTTTAAATATAATTACAGTTGCACGTGGCCAAGAGGTAGATTCAACAGGCATATCTAATATACCTGTAATTAAGAAAAAATAATCTATTTAATCAATACGCAGTTAAAATGAGCATGAGAACTACACATGCATATCAATATCAACTAGAGAAAGAAAGATCAATTTTCATTATAAAATGGCTTTCATAAAAATGTTTTTTTAGTAAACATTCAAGCCATCGACTGTATCTTAATAGACTGGAATTTTGAGAATAGAAAGTATATATTTAATCAAACTATTTTAATGGCAGCAGTAAGACATTTCATGGTGTGCTACCAATGCAGGAAAAAGCAAGGCTGCTGCTTTCAATCTCCTGCTTCCTAATGCAATGTAGTGTGATGATATCAGACTGTATCACACCAGCATAGTGTCATGTTTGCATTGTCTGCGCATACTGTATAAACTTCAAGTGAAGCAATTTAGAAAGACCCCTCTTATATCTAAATATCTTACTTTTTAATTTGTCACGGTCAGATTCCGATGGAAATATCCAGTCTGGGAAGAGCTCTTCAAATTTGATACCCGGATATTTCGGTCTGTTTTCTACATAATTCCTCACAGTAGGCTGTAGTTTCTTCATAAAATCTGCTGATGGTGTTCCTAACTGTTCAATAACTTTATTCCATTGATCAATATCTGGATACTATCTTTAGGAAAAGTAGCTGAAAAATTTCAAATCTGCATTGTGTAAGATACTGCTTATAGAAAAGTGCCACAAAGCATTTGTGTGCACTGAAAGTAATGAAAACCTGGACTGTAAGAGCCAAATCTGGATTGTAACATTGTTCTAGTAGCACAGCATTCTGAGCGGTCATGCAAAGAACAAATTTAATTTCCAAAAATCAGACTTCCAATCCCAATAGTAGGAAGGACTAAAAGTACTACACAATGTATAAAGGGTAAATCTCCGTTGAACAGAATCTACTGGCCATTTTAAAAAGTGGCATTGACAGGATCCAAAAGGATTGGAGATTGGTGTCCATAATGAAGCACTTTGTTCATGGAGACAGGGACGAGAGAAAGGAAAGACTGGTGCTGAATCTTCTGGACCTAAGATGTACAAAACACCTCACAAATAAAGTTAATAAAGGGCAGGAAAAAGATCAGGACAAACCTGACCAAATAATAACTGCATCACATTCAGACTGAAGAATTTTGTACAACTTTTCTACTTAAGAAAGTCTGCATCATAGTGATTTTTCATCTAAAAACTGTTTCCTGAGAAGATGGAATGAAAATCCAACTCTAATGAATCATAATGGCTTCTAAAATGGCAAACCTGAATTTTCTATGTAAGCGTTTTGTTTTTAACTATCAATTATGGTAATACCTAACGAGAACAGTGACTGTTCTTCAATCATAAGCTATGGCTACACCAGAGAGTTTACAGCGGCGCAGCTTGTAGCCACTCTAGGCCAGCAGGAGAGAGCTCTCCCATCAATTTAATTAATCCACCCCCGACAAGTGGCCGCAGCTATGTCGGCAGGAGAAGCTCTCCCGCAGACACAGTGCTGTTCACACCAGTGCTTAAGTTAGCATAAGTTATGTCGCTCAGGGGGGTGGCTAATTTACACCTCTGGGTGACATAACTTATGTCGACGTAAGCTATAGTATAACCATAGCTTATTAAGAGTTCAAATGTAACTTCACAGGAGGTCACACACTTAGGAAGATGCATCTTCCCAACTCTCCCCCTGCCCTCCTTACTATCTAAATAACAACTGTGCACCTCGCCTGCCAAGCTGTCTCATTTATCTGGCTTTTAAAACAGCATTTTGGTTAAGAATGTGAATCTCAATTTGTCACTGTATAAAGAGGATGCTTAGGGAGTAGTTAGGAAAACAACACACAATTACTGTATTTTATTGGGATTACGCTAGAAATTCCATGATTTTTCTACTTATTTACATTGAAAAAGGTAGAGGAGGAGAGGAACTGAAGCATCTAGTCTTCTCCATACAGTCTGGGGGTCAGATAATATTCGGCAATGTGGCTCTATTAAGTGTTTTATTACATGCTATGTAATAGAATGCATAGCAATGTCTGAAGAGAACTGTACAGATAAATTATTCTTGTATTATTTCTATCATCACTGACTGTGAAGCAGTTCTTGAGAATTCAATCCAATCTATTAAAAAGGTACATATGGCTGAAGATGCTTGGACAGCAAGTAAATTAATTTATGCAAGGCAGTTTATCTCAAAGATCTGACATTGGAGGAAACCTTCTTATTGACAGAATCCCTAATCGTTTTCTGAATTAGAGGAATTTGGGATTCTAATGCAGTACTACATATTGCTGAACACCAACTCTGTCAACATTCACAAGTTAGACGTTTAGTTATGTCACATCTAAAGTTTTCTAGAATACCTATTTATGTAGTGGGAGAGTATAACAAAATGGCATGCCTTTGCATAAAAAAAATTCTATTTAGAAATTTTTGTTGGAAGTGCTTAAATTTCAGTTGGTCTGCCAAAAATGCAGCCACTACTGAGAACTTTTCATACCTGTGATATGCACTGATGCATATTAAAAATATAGACATCTAGTGCAAAGATTATTCTAATATAATGTATTTGTTTGTTCCATGCATTCAAATGGAAAACTGACATCAAAATCCTGGTAAATAAAAAATTACAAAAGTTAACTCTCATGCTAAAACAATGTGCATACACAAAAAGTTGTTGAACACACACAAAAAATATTGTTCCCACCTGGAAGACTGATTTCTGGTAGGGGCTCCACCAAACTACATTCAAGGGTTGTTTCTCCTCAAAAGTATCACCAGTTAGGGCTTGTCTACACTGGCACTTTACAGAGCTGCAACTTTCTCGCTCAGGGGTGTGAAAAAACACCCCCCAAACACTGCAAGTTTCAGCGCTGTAAAGTACCAGTGTAGACAGTGCACCAGTGTTAGGAACTGTGCTCCCAGCGCTAGTAGCTATTCCTCTCATGGAGATGGTTTTTTATAGAGCTGGGAGATCATCTAGAGAAATATTCCTAACAAACGCCTACTGTGCATATGTTAACCATGATTTTCTGAGGCCAAACGTGGGTGATTTTTACGCAGACAATCAAAGGCATATCCCTGGCAGAGTAGCCCTCTCTGCCAGAGTTCAAGTGCCTGCACCAAAGGATGGAGGTGCTAGGGATTCTCAGTGAAACAGCTGTAAGAATCTAATATGAGCAAAAACAATGTATTTTTCTCCAACCTCATTCTGTGAAACTGCTGAACCATTTTAGCTGAAACTTAAAAATATACCTGAGGCAGACACCTGAAATAGAAAATTTCAGCCCAAATGGTTAAAGTTTGACAAAGTTATAAGCAACTAGAAACAGAGTCTTAGAATGGAAAATGTTAGGCAACATTAACTATCAGCATAGCTACCAGCAACACCTACAATATAGATATGCTACATTATACAGTATATGCTACATTAAATCTAGATTGGTGGAGCTTTATTTACCCTTCCAGAAGGGAAACTGATTCATTATATACATATTTGACAAGTATGAAAAAAATTCCCTTGATTTATTTATGAATAAATTTATGAATAAATCAAGACAGCAATCAGGATAACCAACGTTAACATGCAAGTGAGAAGATATACAACATACATGAAGAATTGTGTTAGGTTGGTCTGAAGGCTTTGAAGGATAAAACAATAAATATACAAGGGAAGAAGAGGTGAAAAAAATTGTGTATTAATTATTTTGTGCTGTTAAATTAATGCATGTTAATCAACTGCTGAAGATTAGTGTCATGAATTTAGCATTCAGATTTAAATTCCTTTATTGTTACATGTTTATGTTTTTTTTATAGAGGTTATACCTTCACAGAATCTACTTTATATAGATAAAAAAGCTGGGAAAATAAAATTTTATTTATTGATGCAGAACTAGATGTTCCACAAAACCTTTCACTTTTCAGTGTTTCATTTTCAGAATAATTAAAATGGAGAGAAATGTAGTCTCCTTTCCAATTTTTATATTATAAACTCGAAACAAGTAATTAAGCTATGTTTTATACTTTGCCTGTAGGAAAAGGCTTTGAAATATACTAAATTAATAATTTTTTGTACAATATATCTATTGGCAAAGATAGTTTAAGCCATCTTAACCAGATGTATTTAATAAGTTAAGAGACCAAAATGTCAAGTTTGTAAAAACAAACTTAAAAAATCCAGGACCAACAGAAATGTTTCCGTAAAATTAAAAAAAAAATCTCAAAGAAAAGGTCTTTACTTTTAAATGTACATTCCCCTTCTGCAGCATTTCCAACTGAGAGACTGCAGCACTGCTGTGTGCTATTATACAAATAAAAAAAAAAAAAAAAAAGAAACTATTGAGAGTAGGATTATTTTCATTGTGCAAATACAGAAATGCTAGAAGCAAACAGCATAAATTGTGAAAAGTAAATTTTCCAAGATTTCAGTTCTAACAACTTAATTACTAGAAACACTGGCAAGGAAATTTGCTTTTTAACCTAGCAATATCCTTTTAAAGCTGCAAAATGTGAAGTTGTTAATATGAATAATAAGCGTTCAAGCAGTAAAAACTATGTTAAATGTTGTCAAGTAAGTAGGAGAAAAAAAAAGGAAGTTCAGCTATTTGGTTAATGACACTAATTTCAAACATTACAATAGATCCATTAAAATATAGTAGTGAAATATTTTGTTTTCTTTTTTATGCTTTTATATACATAAATAGATCAAAATAATTGTGCATCTTTGGTGGATGTGAAAAAGGATTCAAGGATGACTAGGGAAGGATACGATCAGTGCCTTGGAATATCACACAACCTTTCACCAATTCTCCCATGATGCACCCAACTGACCAGATATCAACTGAAAGTAAAAATGAAATGATCAAATTATGAAGTGTCATGAACAAAAGTGGAAAACTTAAAAAAATCTAAACAAATAAACCTACTATCTACAATAAAAACCACAAGAATGCAGAAAACCAAACACTGACTTCGCTTTTTCCTAAATTTTGCTATTAGACAGTAATTCAGTTTTTGTGAGGTAGGCCTTGCGTTTTTTTTTTTTTTTAAACTCTATAAAATGCTTTTCTGATCTGTTCTTAAATCCTTCAATTACTTTTAAATTTTTATCATACTTTACAATCCCTGAAACCACTGTGAAGAAGGATACAATCTCTTCCTGGGAACAGGACCTTATGGAGGACCATTTCTGCCATTATGCACCCAACAGACCAGATATCCACTATCATGTTAGGTGCAACAAGGACAAAAGATTAAAGAATTTTTTTAAATTACGACAAACAGTTTTTTAATTTGTAAAATTTAAACTGCATATTTACAGTTTTACAGATTAGTTTATTATTCTTCCTGTTATTTAGAATGTTCTTGTCCAATTCAGGACACATTCTACTACACGCATATTAAACATTTTTGATCCACACCAATTAATGTACTGTTAAGGGCCCTATGTATCAGACAGAACCATCATAACAGCTGACTCCGGAAAATTCTGTGGAACTCTCAGGTTAGAAAGCCACACCTCAAAAAAAGGTATGCTCCCAGGCCATATAATGCTAATCCAGGCTAAGGAATGCACTGAGCTGAAGGTCTAGAGTAGAATGCAGGGTATCATCTGCCTCACAAGCAATCATCTGAAAACTTTTTTGGACGAGGGAATGAAATTCAAGGACATTGTCCTTGCTGAAAGCTTTGTTTAAGATATTTAAGATGTATTATTATTAAAAATACAGTGTCCAAAGTGTCTTAGGTGCTACATAGACCTAGGATTGTATAAAGACACTCCCTGGCCCAGAGAGCTTAAATAGACATGACGAAAATGAAGCAACAAATGTGGGGGTGGTAAACAGGGGGAAAGAGAAGACACCTTACAACAAGTTAATTATTTCCTATAGTGGTTCTGCTAGATTTTTAAAATCTATAAGTATAATTGTCTTATAAACAATGCATTCTTTTTTGAGGATAGAACAACGGTAATAGGAATGAAGAATTATGTGGAGTGAAGCAAGTGAGAATGGAAGGAAAGGGGGATAAAGAGAGCAGTGGTAAAGAGAAAGGCACAAGAAACAGGACAACAGCTATTCCTCAAATGTTTAACTCTGTAAATCTCAGTATTCCCAACACCATGTTATAAATTACATTAGCATTAGAGATAGAAAACTCAAAAGGTGTCCTGCCAGTGAGATTCTTCTGAGAGAGTTGCACTTTAGAGAAAAGGTTTAATACTTCATTGCTGCAACTTACCATTCTCTTTGTATCCCATGCCTAGGATAACCTCCGGTGCTCTGTAATACCGTGTTACTACGTACGGCGTCATCATAAAATTAGTACATGCTGTTCTTGCCAGTCCAAAATCAAGGATTTTGAGTGTACAATCTGATTTTACTACTATATTGCTGGGTTTCAAATCCTAAAGAAAAATTATTTCAGTTAACAGAAAGGCTCAACATACTGAAAGATACCATATAACCTTCCATAAAATCAATATAAGCTACCACACTGTATTGAACATTAGCAGCTTAATATACATTTCTTGCGTGCATTCTTTTAGTTAATTTGTGTACAAATTACATGCACACAAAAATTCTTTGAAAGAGCCTTAAGATTGCAAAGTCAAGCACTCAAAAGTCAGGAAATGACATAATTAAGGTTGCCCACACAACCTTAATTAGGACCTCTTGTGTATATGCACTATGAATCATTCTTTAATTACATGATCACATACTATATTTTCCCCAGGACCTGCCTCATTCAGTGCACGGAATGGACCTACTCTGAGGATGAATCAGGATTGTGTAGCCAAATTAAGGTTGCACGGGCAATCTTAGTTCAACCATTTCCTAACATTTGAGTGCTTGACTTTGCAAACTTAAACTATGCTAAAAAACATTATAGCGTGTGTATAATTTCTTAGGTTTTGAAGTCAAACTGAAAAGACAGAAATTCCAGCACGTGACATCATACCGTCACCCACATGGGTCATCAGCAGGGTTGGAGCCTTTAGATTTCTACTGCTGAGACCTCTACCAATGGGGGTAATGGAGTAATCAATACCACCAGTAAGTTGTCATTCTCTATGTGGACCAGCACGAGAGAGGGATGGGACACTTTGCTAGTGGATTTCACAGATATTTGTTGACAGCAGAGAAACAGTGAGATTAGGGAATCTTGTGTTCCATTCTAGAGTTTATAAACTTTCTTTATTGTGTTTTAACAAGGAACTTGAAGGAGGAAAGGGTGAAGGCAAGAAGTTCCAGGCACATGATTGCATGGAAGAAATTAAAAGGCAGGAATGAAAGGAACTGGAACCCACAAAGGAGCAGGATCAGTCATGCAGATTGGGACAGCAAATAGGCCCAACAGAGCTGCAGAAAGGCAGGACGTCGGCTGTGCAGGGCTTTGAAATTTTGAGCAACCATTTAACGATTTTACCTTGAGTATTAATATTATTGTCGTACATAATTGTTTAAAAGACTTCATTTTAATACAAATTATTCCCTTGCTTTAACCATAAGGTTCTTGGAGCATCCTTACTCACATTCCATCACCTATCAATATTAATATCTTGTATTTTATATTTTTCCCTAATTTGTGTTTATATTTAGTCTCATTTAACACAAAAATTTGCAGAAAATGCCCTTTTACCATCTGCAGAACTAGTTTGGTTTTTGGAGTTTCATTTATCACATATATCTGTCTGTCCTTGAAACAGATATGGTTTTCACATTACTATTAACAATATGAATATGAAATGGAATATTGATTTACAAGATAACTAGCAAAAACAAATTTCATATAAATGCCACCTTTAAAGATGCTTGTTGTCAATAAAAACAACAAGGAGTCTTTAAGGTGCCACCAGACTCCTTGTTGTTTTTGTAGATACAGACTAACACGGCTACCCCCGATATTTGTTGTCAATGTCACTATCAAAACACTACCTACTCTGTGGATGATACCAGCTGAATGGAGATGTTTGATACCACACAACATCTGGTAGAGAAGGTAGGACATTCTTTCATGATCCAACTCCATATGAATAACCTGGCACAAGTTAGCATCCATCAGTTCCATAACCAAATACCTACAGTATAAGGAATAAAAAAAATAACTTTTTTTTTTCATCTTAGTCATAAAATAACTAACATCAGAACATATTTTTAAATAGGATCCCATGCAAGTCACTGAAAAATGAGTGTTGGAATGTCAGTAAAAGGCACTGACATGTCACATTGAGATTTCCTTTCACTGTGTACTGACTTAACATCAACAAAATTAGGGAAAGCATTTTGTGAAATAAAGAGCAGTGATTAATTTCCAAGTTAATGTGCGACCCCTTTTTTATGCCATTCATCAAATAAATCCATTCCAAAGCTGCAACAACACACACATTAGCACCTACATATCACAGTGATTGGAGCCTCATGAATACTTCGACAGATCTCTTACCACCACATACAAGATCTAGGTTAAGAAATATATTCAGCTTGTAATTAAGGATGGAGGTATTGTGATTCTGATGGGCTTGATCTCAGAAAAGCATGTCAGGTTATCCACATTGAGTTATTGTCTTGAATTGACTTATTTGACTGTCATTCTATCTAAAGGAAAACAGCTGTGATAATTACAGATCCATGTGCACTCAGTAAAGGTGGCAGAGGGCTGATGAAAAGGTAAGTATTCCTTTTACTTTTCCCATTATTTTCTATTACTACACACATACCACAACAACTTTAGTTATAGATTTTCTCAAGGAGCTCACTGTAACATTTAAAGATTAATTACAGGCCAGAGATTCTATCCTCAGTACCATATTTTTTTCATGGCCAGAAAAGTTGTAAGAAAGCATAGAATATGCCTCTAAATTCAGGACAATGTTTACCAAGAAAAATTTAAGAACTACAGAAATGTAAAACAATGAACTTTCAATGTACTTACACATCTTGAAATTCTTCCAGTGACTTCTGTGGTGTGAATACATTTAACAAACTAATTATCTATAAAGAAAAATAAAACATGAAGAAACCTTAAATATATGAATTTTTACACACTAAATGAAGAGCAAGACAATGTGGTTATTAAAACAAATACAAAAACTCAGTTTCTCTTTCTTTACACTGCTGATTTACTTTGCCACTCAACTTCGACAGTAACAAACCAGTCTAGTTTCACTAACGTATTTCACACGTACAAGTACAATACTGCAGCATCTGTGTTGAAGTATCACCAGAGATCCTGTACATTTTTTAAAGGTCACATTTAAGTTACATGAAACCACTTCCCCTCCCACCCACACATCAAATAAAACCTAAAATAATGTGCCTAGAATAATAGCTTGGTGATGTATTTTATCACTCAAAAATTCTGATATTTGAGAGAAAAAGTGGTGTGCAAGTATTTTCTATCCTTAGAAAAATGGCTTCCAAATAGTACACAGACAGAGATGCCCCATCAACCTGTTTGCTCTATGGATATATCTACACAGCAAAGAAAAACCCAGAGCTGGCCCATGCCAGCTGACTTGGACTTGAGGGGCTTGGGGTGCAGAGATGTTTCATTACTGTGTAGTCCCTGCAAGGGTCCCAGAGCTTGGGCTGCAGCCTAAACTCGGAAGTCTACACAGCAATTAAACAGCCCTGCAGCAGGAGCTCCATGAGCCTAAGTCAGCTGGCATGGACCAACCACATGTGTCTAGTTGCTGTGTAGACATGCCTTATGTTTCTGGAAATAGTTCTCAAAATCCTTTATAAGTTTCATAACAATACGATCCTGGTATTCATATCCTGGTATCTTTGTAATTAGGATACTTAGTACTTGCACCAGTATGATGCTTTATGTTTTCAAAGCATTGTCAAGTTCAATCAAGTAAAACATAACATATCTTCCATATTATTCAGATAAGCTAGCAGCAGCAGCATAGTACCATCTCACTATTGCTAATAGGCAAGTACTGTCAAACTATGATTCTGTCTCAAAGTTTACCCTTGAGCACAGGTTGTTTTTTTGTTTAGGTTTGTTTTTCTGTTTGTTTGTTTTTTTGAACAAACAGATTGAAAGATGGGGGCCAGTAAAAGCCTTCTTGCTTAGACCAGGGAAACTTACAATGGTGTACTACACTGATGTGCAAACCCACACCGAAACACTGCAAGATAGCATTGGTGCTAGTATGACTTACTGGGATAAACTGCATTGCAGCAACCCAGTTTTACACTGGTGCAGTACCTACACTAGGAGGTTCTACTAATGCAGCTGCATTGATTCAAAAACCTCATTCCCCTTCCCACCTCAGAGGAAACAAAGCACCCACTCCACCCATAAACCCAAATATAGATTGGGTCTAACTAAAAAATTTTCTTGTTTAATATTAGACACATTAATATATGTTACCAAAGTTCCAGCACTCTTTCATTGTTTTACATTTCAAATACTTGAGAAAAGTCAAAACTTTCATAATAGTCTTTGCTATCTACAATAATTTACCAATTCTGACCCACACTTAACCAGTTTTGACCTTTCCATAATTAAGGCTTACTTTTATGCACTCTTGTTCACTATTAGTAGGAGCACTATTTGAAAATAAATTAAATTCTTAAGAAAAATACACTTACGTTTTTGTGATTGACACATTTTAAAAGAACAAGCTCCCTGTAAGCTCTTTTTGCATGAGTTTGGTTCTGAAAAGGACGACTCAGCTTCTTTACCGCAACATTTATCCCAAGGACTGTATCAAATGCAGCACTGAAATTTTGAAAGAAACATCGTAAGTGCAAATCTTTTGGGGGAACAAGAAGAAATCAAGGCTTGAAACCATGCATATCCACAAACCTGGTCATATTAATTTCTTCTCGGCTCTGTTCACACACAAACAAAACGGAACCTGCATATCCTTTACCAGTGATGACTGAAGTATAAAACAGAAGCCCTCTGCATTTTTATTGAAAATTTCAATAGTACCTTCTCCAAGATAGGGGGCACTAATACCAGCGTTTTGGGCAAAATCCAACTTTAAGTTGTATTAACCTTACTTGAAATAAAAAGTTTCTCTGATGCTTAATTTGGGTTAAATGAGTTTTTCACACAGTGCTGCTGGCACTACTTTTAGGGTAGATGCACTTCTGTTCCAAATATTAACTATGCACTACTAAAGTCTTCACTTTAAATCCAAATACCTTAGTGCATCACTTCCCCAGCTAACACCAGGGCTCTGGACACTGAGAACCTTATAGGTATGCAGTTTAAGACATATTTGAAGCTTGCAAAATATGACAAATAAGTTAATTAATGTTACTAATTGAGTCCTTCAGTATTCTCTAGTTTTATGATTCATTGGGAGAAGGGCACTCCAACCCACAGACTGAATAACAGGATTCACCGATTTTAGGAAGAAAGGTTTCCAGTTAAAAGATAGGCAACTAGATTTGCTTTGATCTCAAGAGCTTTATTTTTTCTTAGTGACCTTCTGCCTCCATTTATATGAGCAAGTTTTGCAGGGGAGTTTCAAATTTGTTTTCAATAGCCACAAGTATCTAATTCTGAGCATATATGATCCAAGCTCTATTTTGGCTGCTCAGTTAGTGCCAATGGATGTTCTGCTCTGCCACATATTTTTCAAATATTTTTAAAGCTATTTGTGAGCAGCTTCTCTTTACTTCTTCCTCTTTAGGACACACATAGCAGTAGACTGAAGAACACCAGAATATCACTGTACTCCTGTACAATAGTCTTCCCTTTGGTAGCTTCAATACTGAAATAAAATAGAACATACGCTGTCAACATTAAATCACTGCTTCTCCTACAGGGAAAGCAGTACTGTTCAAGAGTAGAGGTGACATGATTATGTGCCCAGATTCTAATTAACACACATTTCTAACCTAAACTTAGAGTCTATTAGCAGTTACCTATTTTACATAACTGCTTTGTTTAAAGAAGTCACCATTATCAGGTAATTTTCAATTGTTCACTGAGCCAAAGCTTGAATATGTAAAATAGAATACATAAGGGGAGGAAGGCAACTGAACAGATGTTTTTAAAATAGTATTTTTCGCCCAGCCAGCATGAATAAGTGGACATTTTTCAATATTTACCCAATCAAGATAACACTGTATTAGTATGTAGAAAGTGCTATACACATTAACTCTGTGAATCAGTACAAAATATCAAATTCTCTTAGTAAACAAGTAGGAGTCCAGTGGCACTTTAAAGACTAAACAGATTTATTTGGGCATAAGCTTTCGTGGGTAAAAAATCCACTTCTTCAGATGCATAAAGTGAAAATTACAGATACAGGCATAAATATACTGGCACATGAAAAGAAGGGAGTTACCTTACAAGTGGAGAACCAGTGTTGACAAGGCCAATTCAGTCAGGGTGGATGTGGTCCACTCCCAATAACTGATGAGGAGGTGTCAATACCAAGAGAGGGAAAATTGCTTTTGAAGTGAGCCAGCCACTCCCAGTTCCTATTCAAGCCCAAATTAATGGTGCTAAGTTTGAAAATGAATTGTAGCTCTGTGGTTTCTCTTTGAAGTCTGTTTTTTACTTTTTTTTGTTAAAGGATGGCTACTTTAAAATTGAATGTCCAGGGAGCTTGAAGTGTTCTCCTACTGGCTTTTGTATGTTACCATTCCTGAGGTCTGATTTGTGTCCATTTATTCTTTTACATAGAGACTGTCCGGTTTGGCCAATGTCCATGGCAGAGGGGCATTGCTGGCACATGATGGCATATATCACATTATTAGACGTGCAGGTGAATGAACCCCTGATGGTATGGCTGATGTAGTTGGGTCCTATGATGATGTCGCTAGAGTAGATATGGGGACAGAGTAGGCAACGGGGTCTGTTACAGGGATTGGTTCCTGGGTTAGTGTTTCTGTGATGTGGTGTGTAGTTGCTGTTCAGTACACCTCTACCCCGATATAACGCGGTCCTCGGGAGCCAAAAAAGTCTCACCACCTTATAGATGAGACCACGTTATATTGGGTATGATCCAGTACAGCATACCGGCCGTGCTGGACTGGATCGGCTTCCCCGGCGGTGATTTAAAGGGCCCGGTGCTCCAGCCGCTGCGGGGAGCCCCAGGCCCTTTAAATCGCCTCCGGCAGCAGAATCCACTGGTGAGGCCACACCTGGAGTACTGCGTCCAGTTTTGGCCCCCCAACTACAGAAGGTATATGGACAAATTGGAGGGAGTCCAGCAGAGGGCAACGAAAATGATTAGGGGGCTGGGGCACATGACTTACGCGGAGCACCGGGCCCTTTAAATTTCCGGCAGCCAGGCTCGGGCAGTGATTTAAAGGGCCAAAGGCTCCGGCCCGGGGCTCCACACGAATTTGGATATAACACGGTAAAGCAGCGGGGCTCGGATGGTGCTTTAAAGGGCCCGGGGCTCCCCGCTGCTTTACCGCGTTATATCCGAATTCACGTTATATCGGGTCGTGTTATATCGGGGTAGAGGTGTATTTGCTTCAGGTTTGGGGGGCTGTCTGTAAGCGAGGACTGGCCTGCCTCCCAAGGTCTGTGAGAGTGAGGGATCGTTTTCCAGGATAAGCTGTAGATCGTTGATGATGTGCTAGAGAGGTTTTAGGTGGGGGCTGTACAGGATGGCCAGTGGTGGTGTTATTTTCCTTGTTGGGCCAGTCCTGTAGTAGGTGACTTCTAGGACCTGTCTCGCTCTGTCAATCTGTTTCCTCACTTCCCCAGGTGGGTATTGTAGTTTTAAGAATGCTTGATAAAGATCTTGTAGGTATTTGTCTCTGTCTGAGGGATTAGAGCAAATGCAGTTGTATCTAAGGGCTTGGCTGTAGATAGTGGATCGTGTGATGTATCCTGGATGGAAGCTGGAGGCATGTAGGTAAGTATAGTGGTCAGTAGGTTTTGCGTTACTGGGAGTGGACCACATCCACCCTGACTGAATTGGCCTTGTCAACACTGGTTCTCCACTTGTAAGGTAACTCTCTTCTCTTCATGTGCCAGTATAGTTATGCCTGTATCTGTAATTTTCACTCCATTTATCTGAAGAAGTGGGTTTTTTATCCACGAAACCTTATGCCCAAATAAATCTGTTAGTCTTTAAGGTGCCACTGGACTTCTCATTGTTTCTGTGGATACAGATTAACATGGCTACCCCTCTGATACTTAATAAACAAGTGTGCTTGGATGAAACAGTGGTTGATGATTCTCAAATTACTCTTGGGGGAATTCTGCACCACTGTGCAATGCAGAATTTGCACAGAATTAATGATCTGCACAGAATTTCCTTTTTCTTTGCACTGCAGAGCTGCTGGCCACTGCTAGAGGCCACTGGACCCAGCGGAGCGCAGCTTCCCAGCTTGCAAATAGAAGAAACTGCCGAGGGGGGAGGGGGAACTGGAGAGTTCCGGACAGCTGTGGTTCCCGGCCCACCTTGCAGAAAAGAGGCGGTGTACAGGAAACTCCGTACAAGCCCAGGACCCAACAACAGACAGTTTCTCCCTCTGGATTCCTGGGCTCTGAGGGGGAGGGGATGCAGGTGTCTGGTCTGGGGGCCGCCCCACAGCTAGGCTCCAGGGGGCAAGGGGTGTGGGTAGGGCAGACAAACAGGAACTGGGTTACTGTAGGGGTTTCTTTAACTCTACTCCGGGTGGAAATTTTTGTTGTCTGTATTGTTACAGATATAGCTGCTATTTTTAAATAAACTACCAAAATAATTGAAACTAGCATGATTCTAGTGTGTTATTTTGACAAAATATACAGAATTTTGCAGATTTTTAGTTTTTTGGCACCGAATTCTCCCAGGAGTATCAAGTTCAGTCACAAGTAGATATACTACCCCAACAGCAATGCATACATGCATGATTTTAAGGGGAATAAAGTCCTCATTTTTATTCCAGAAGTCAGAGATCAGGTGAAAATCTGACAAACTCTCTCAGTAGGGATACAAGCAAGTCAGTAGCCACAACTTTCACCCATTCCATGTTCGCTGATCTACAGGAGGGGCCTTGACAACATATTTCAAATTAAGTTGTGTATGCTGTACATACAACCTAAGGAAAGAAACCTGGTCGGCTGCTACAAACAGAAAGAAATGAATTAAAAGGTTTTATGATTGTTTAACCAGTATGAAAGCAAGTTTGAAACTGCAATATGGTAAGGGAAACCAAGAACTCTAATACTTAGTAGTATTACAAAAGGACACTTTTAAAAAAAGCCAAAAGGCCTATACCATAATCAAGTACTCATTTTCAAATGCTCTATAATTCATTATTTGTTTATGGTGAGAAGCATCATATAACCTTTCAGACCACTGAGCAAGAAGTCTTTTTATTTCCCTATCATTCTAAATTCAAACACCTAGTTTTAGAAGGAGTCATTGGAAGGAAAAGACAGACATCTAGATGAAAACTGCTACAGGTACAACATTTTATAGAAGTTAGTTTATTTTGCCAAAATCTGCTTAATTTTCCTTATCACCTGGGCTAATAATGGGAAGTCTATTAAATAAGTTTCCTTTCATCTGAACGAGATACTCTTCCAACATCCTATATCACACAGTGATTCTCTTACAGATGTTTGAGATTAAAAACATCCACCTGTGTGAATTCTTCACAATTCTAATTCAGATGAAAGATCATTTAGGGCATTCACCACTAGCAATAGTGGTTTTCTATAGCATTCTGCTTGAACAGTAAACCATAATGCAGACTAAGAATGCACTTACAATACCATGTGACAGACAATACATCACTAATAATTATGATCAG